CCGCCGTTCCACCCGTTTCACAACCGCCTTTTTCATGCGGCATCGGCCGGCAAGGTACGGCTTTGGGCAGCCAGAGCGGGCGGGCAGGTGCGGCGCTTTGGGAGCAGCAGAGGGAAAACCTCTCCGTAAAACCACTGTCACAGCCCCAGGCCAAAGACGGCGAGGGAACCGCAGACCTCTGCGGCAGATGCTGCTCCTGCGGGTGATGACAAAATAGGGAGGAAAAACACCAGGTAGGAAAGAGACGTCCCACTTAGAGGGACACCGAGAGCCCCTCACCGTCAGAGGCACCGTCCCGAGGATGAACAGCCCAGAGGGGGATGCCGGGGCTCTGGGCCGCAGAGCTCATCACATCGTGCCATAGCAGAGGCTCCATCAAAAACTCCTCCAGATCTGGCCGTGTCGAAGCTTCCGAGGGCAGGGAGGGGGCACCGGCCCCTGCTACCCAGGCCCTCAGGCTGCCCCCGTCCAAAAGGCAGTCAATAAAAACCAGTGAAGGGTCTGACAACATGCATGCCTGGAAAGACAAACAGAGCTTAAAGAAACCTTTATTTTAAAAATATGTTTTTTAATTTAAATGCAAATTGGGTGCTGTTATCTGCAGGTCACTTGCACTGACACACTGCTTAATTAGCAGGGATGAGTCTCAGGAAGCAGAAGCAGCTAATGGCTGGCCCTTTCCTGTGCATTTGTTTTAAGTTAATTAAAATTTTTCAGAACGGGATCCGTCCTGCTCTGCAGAACAGCTCCTCACTCTATTCAGCCAGTCCTTTCCTAAGCCAAGCACGCTGCCAGGGATGCGCTCAGCAGGCTATTAGCTATTAATCGAGTAGGGCACATTTATTTCTGCATCCTGAAATCCCCTTTGGCGAGTCACAAATCACAGCCCACCGTTCGATAGATGCGCCTGCAACATCCCGCGTCAGGCAAAATGGTATCAACAATAAATCTGAGCAAGGACGTAGGAGATTTTTCTGAACGCTGGGGTGAATTACGTATATAAGTCTTCAGAAGAGACATTAAACCTAATGTGAAATTGAACCTTCAAAGTGATGAGCGGAGCAGTTATCCCCTGTGTTACACGCAAGTTATGCGCAAGAGGATCTCATTTAGAGAAAATCTGCCTTTGCCAAGAGAGATGAGCTGGAATCGAGAGCCATGATCTGTGCATCAGGGCTCTGGGGACAGAGCTTTAACCCTTCCCTCGGCCCAGCTCTGCCTCGTGTCGCTGCCGCCCACCGCACGCAGACCCCTGGCCTGGGCAGGGAGCGGGGCCCCCGCAAACCTGCCGGCCGCTGAACGCCCCGTGACTCGGGGGCCTGGACGTGTGCCCACACCGGAGGAGACCCTCCGAGGGCAGCCGAAGCAGCGAGGCTGGGCAGTGGGAGCAGGGGGGGACAGTGCCAGCTGGGGCCCAGGGGCACCAAACAGGAGCAGCCTCTGGCCCAGTGCAGGGCCAGGGTCCCGCTCTGGGACACGGCGAGGTCCCGAGGGGTGGGAAGGCTCCCCCAGTACGAAGCAAGACAAACCCCGACAGCAAACACCATCCGCAGAGCGCGGCAGCGGTGCAGGAGCGACCCGGCGGCAGCAGCTCCCCGCAGGACATGGCTGAGCGCAGCAGCCGTCAGGGCCTGTCAATAAACGCTCGGTTTAATCACTGAATGTTCCTCCGTGGACCCAATCGATAGCACCTCACTGGGAGAAAATGAGATAAAGAGCAGCATTACTAGCGCTCCATTTCCCTGCAAAGAGGAACCCCAGTCCGGGCCTGCCTCCCGGGCCCTTGATCAAAGGACATGCTCTGAGGTTGCCCCTTCTCTGCCGTGAGGCATTTCATCCCGTTTCCCGCCCTGACCGCCTCGGTGCCGCAAGAACGAGCAGCCCCAGTGGCAGCTG